AAAAGTTTTATTTTCTGAAAAAATAGCTCAGCTGAACCAAATTTTCGCCCTGTGCGCAAGTCTAGTAGTCTGCTTGGATTGTTTTATGTACATCAACAGAAGAAGGCAAGAGCAAATTAAAAAGAAACATTAAAAGATAAATAACAACATATCCCTAAGCATGAAATCCAAATTTGTATAATATATTGACTGACAGAAGGTTACCATATGAATTAAATCCTTTTCCCCAGGCTGTTTCTTTTTAGTTGTTTGAAGTATGCATTAAAAGCAGTGCCCCAGTGTCTGCTTGTTTATTAAAACGTATGTTATAAACACAGAGTGTTTAAACAAAATGATGGACTTGCTGATGAAATTCACAAATAAATCTTAGTGCATGCATTAACTCCTGTTGTGCTTAGAACTCATTCTAATTGTTGGAACTATGAGGTTAAATCCAATAAGTGCATATTTTATTAGTCCAAAGACGACGATCTATCTATTGGAAAATCTAATGCTAAGAGAGAGAATTAAATATGCACAAACAAATATATAAAGCAGAATTGAGAGATAAGATTCCAGTCTGGTATTTCCAGTGTCTGACTGAGGTTTTTACACAGTGGTAGAAGTAATACTTGTGCAATAACATGGTTAACACAATAGCAGTTCACTACAGAATCAAGAAAGCTCTGATCAACGCCATCTTGAATCCCATACCGTGATTCCCTAATCCCAGCATACATTTGCTGCATTTATGTTGAATAGAGTTGAGTGGACACCTGGATGTTCGGGTCCGGCGGGTTTGGCCGAACTTTGGGGAAAAAAAGTCCGGGTTCGGGCTCGAACTTGACTCCGAACCCGAACGCCGTTAAAGTCAATGGGGACCCAAACTTTTGGCAACAAAAATGCCTCTATAAAAACTCCTGGAAAGGGCTAGAGAGCTGCAAAAGGAAGTAAAATGGGGGTAAGAGTAGGACAAGTGCCCTGCAAACAAATGTGGATAGGGAAATCACTTAAAATAACATAAAATACCTAAAAATGAAAATAGCACTAGATGGAATCTTTGATTTTAGCTTTGGAAGAACATAAATACAAATCTGAAGCATGGCTGTCAGGAGGATCACCAGAATTATCCATTTGAGAGAGGGTTGGAGTGCAGGGTATTCTTTCATTGTTCAAACTGAGCTCAACTCCTGATGCATGGAGAAAAGGCCTTCACAAGCCTCTGCTATTGTGTACATAGTTTATACTAAGTGACCTATAGGTTGAGGAGGCGGTGACCGTGGCGGTGTAGGTGGAAGTGGCAGTGGAGGAGGAGGAGGTAGCCAACACTGTTTTTATATATATTATATATATATATATATATATATATATATATATATATATATATATATTTTTTTTTTAGTTGGGGAGCCATAGAATGTGACGGCAGATAAGAACCATTCGGCCCATCTAGTCTGCCCAATTTTCTAAAACTTTCATTAGTCCCTAGCCTTATCTTATAGTTAGGATAGCCTTATGCCTATCCATGCATGCTTAAACTCCTTTACTGTGTTAACCTCTACCACTTCAGCTGGAAGGCTATTCCATGCATCCACTACCCTCTCAGTAAGTAATACTTCCTGATATTATTTTAAACCTTTGTCCCTCTAATTTAAGACTATGTCCTCTTGTTGTAGTAGTTTTTCTTCTTTTAAATATAGTCTCCTCCTTTACTGTGTTGATTCCCTTTATATATTTAAATGTTTCTATCATATCCCCCTGTCTCGTCTTTCCTCCAAGCTATACATGTTGAGATCCTTTAACCTTTCCTGGTAAGTTTTATCCCGCAATCCATGAACCAGTTTAGTAGCCCTTCTCTGAACCCTCTCTAAGGTGTCAATATCCTTCTGAAGATACGGTCTCCAGTACTGTGTACAATACTCCAAGTGAGGTCTCACCAGTGTTCTGTACAATGGCATGAGCACTTCCCTCTTTCTATTGCTAATGCCTCTCCCTATACAACCAAGCATTCTGCTAGCATTTCCTGCTGCTATATTACATTGTCTGCCTACCTTTAAGTCATCAGAAATAATCACCCCTAAATCCCTTTCCTCATATGTTGAGGTTAGAACTCTATCAAATATTCTGTACTCTGTCCTTGGGTTTTTACGTCCAAGATGCATTATCTTGCACTTATCCACATTAAATGTCAGTTGCCACAATTCTGACCATTTTTCTAGTTTACCTAAATCATTTGCCACTTGGCTTATCCCTCTTGGAACATCAACCCTGTTACATATCTTAGTATCATCAGCAAAAGACATACCTTACCATCAAGACCTTCTGCAATATCACTAATAAAAATATTAAAGAGAATGGGTCCAAGTACAGATCCCTGGGGTACCCCACTGGTGACAAGTCCAAGCTTCGAATATATTCCATTAACTACAACCCTCTGTTGCCTGTCACTCAGCCACTGCCTTACCCATTCAACAATATTGGAATCCAAACTTAAAGATTGCAGTTTATTGATAAGCCTTCTATGTGCAACAGTGTCAAAAGCCTTACTGAAATCTAGGTAAGCAATGTCTACTGCACCACCCTGATCTATAATTTTAGTTACCCAATCAAAAAAATCAATAAGATTAGTTTGGCATGATCTCCCTGAAGTAAACCCATGTTGTCTCTGATCTTGAAATCCATGTGTTTTAGATGTTCATCAATCCTATCCTTTAACATGGTTTCCATCACTTTCCCCACTACTGAAGTAAGGCTTACTGGCCTATAGTTGCCCGACTCCTCCCTATTACCTTTCTTGTAAATGGGCACAACATTAGCTAACTTCCAATCTTCTGGGACTACTCCTGTTAACAATGATTGGTTAAATAAATCTGTTAATGGTTTTGCTAGTACACCACTAAGCTCTTTTAATAGCTTTGGGTGTATTCCATCAGGTCCCATTGACTTATTTGTCTTTACTTTTGACAGTTGAAATAGAACCTCTTCCTCTGTAAACTCACGTGTAATAAATGACTCATTTATCCTTTTTCTCAACTGAGGTCCCTTTCCTTCATTTTCATCTGTAAATACAGAACAAAAATATTCATTGAGGCAGTCAGCTAGACCTTTATCCTCTTCTACATACCTTCCTTCTTTTGTTTTTAATCTAACTAATCCTTGTTTTACTTTTCTTTTCTCATTTATGTATCTAAAAATGTTTTATCCCCCTTTTTTACTGACTGTGCTATTTTCTCTTCTGTGTGTGTGATTTGGAAGCTCTTATAACTTGCTTTGCCTCTTTCTGCCTAATCTTATAGATCATTTTGTCTTCCTCACTCTGGGTTTTTTTATAATTCCTAAATGCTAACTTTTTGTTTTTAACTATTTTGGCCACATCTGCGGAGTACCACAGTGGTTTCTTGAATTTTTGCTTTTACTGACAAGCCTAATGCAATTTTCTGTTGCCTTCAATAGTGCAACTTTTAAATAATCCCATTTTTCTTGGATTCCATTTAAATTGCTCCAGTCTGATAATGACTCCTCTACCCATATTCTAATTTTAGAAAAGTCTGTTTTTCTAAAGTCTAAAACTTTTGTTTTTGTGTGGTGTGACTCAGTCACTGTTCTTATATTAAACCACACTGACTGATGATCACTGGATCCTAAACTTTCACCTACAGTAACATCTGATACCAAATCTCCATTTGTTAACACTAAATCTAGTATGGCCTCTTTACGAGTTGGCTCCTCAACAACTTGTTTTAGAGACAATCCCAGTAGGGAGTTTAGAATATGTGTGCTCCTGGCACAAGTAGCTAATTTTGTTTTCCAATTTACATCAGGAAGATTAAAGTCACCCATGATGATAACTTCCCCCTTCATTGTTATTTTAGCTATTTCCTCAACTAGTAGATTATCTAACTCTTCAATTTGTCCTGGGGGCCTATAAATCACACCTACACGAGTTACTGTGTGATTACCAAATTCTAACGTAGCCCAAACGGACTCTATGTTTGCCTCACTAACTTTTATTAGGCTAGATTTTATGCTATCCTTCACATACAAGGCCACCCCTCCCCCTTTCTTGCCTTCCCTATCTTTCCTATATAAAGAGTACCCTGGTATTGCTATGTCCCAGTCATTTTTCTCATTGTACCATGTCTCAGTAACAGCGACTAAATCTACACTATCAGTTGCCATTATTGCCACAAGTTCATGGATCTTATTCCCTAAACTGTGAGCATTTGTAGACATGACTCTAAGCTTATCATTTTTAACACACTTGCTACAGGCACCTTCTGTCCTTGTTTTGGGGGACAATTGGATTGATGTTTTATCACCCTTTTGCCCCCCCCCCTCCTAGTTTAAATACATCCTAGCAAAACCTCTGAACTGCTCACTGAGAACATTTGTTCCCTTTTGAGAAAGATGCAAACCATCTTTTTTGTACAGCTTATATCCATTTCAAACAGAGCTACCATGAGAAATAAAGCCAAATCCTTGCTCCCGACACCATTCACCAAGCCACAAATTAAAGTCCCTAATACGCATCCGCCTGTCGTTCTGAGTGTTATGCACAGGCAGAACTTCAGAGAATGACAGTGTGGAAGCAACCTGCCGTATATCATTGGCAAAACACTAAAAACTTCCTTAACCTCTGAAACCTCATTGCAAGCCAAGTCATTTGTCCCTAGATGGACAAGTACATCCAATTCCCCTTCCTGCTTTGCTTGCTTAACAATATTACAGATACGTCTCCTGTCTCTGTGAGCAGTAGCTCCGGGAAGACACCTCACAAGACCACCATTGTCCATCTCCACACCTCTTATAGATGGACAATGGTGGTCAATCTCCACACCTCTTATAGCCCCCAAAACATTGGGACATATAAAAAAAAGAAACATTTGCAGCCTGCGTTGCATTACTTGCAGCACTGATGCATGGAGAAATGCTCAACTCCTCATGCATGGAGAAAAGGCCTTCACAAGCCTCTGCTATTGTGTACATAGTTTATATTAAATGACCTATAGGTTGAGGAGGCGGTGACCGTGGCGGTGTAAGTGGAAGCAGCGGTGGAGGAGGATGAGGTAACCAACACTGTTTTTTTTTAATTGTGGCAGCCCACAAAATATTGGGACATATAAAAAAGACAACTCTGTTCCGCAGAGTAGCTGTGGATATTATAGTTGCGCAGGCACTTTGTTGACTCTAGAAAACCTCGGCCCAATCGCACATTCCCGTGACGGCGATTTTGCATTTGGACGTCATCCATATCAACTTTCTATGCCAGTTTCTGTGCCTACCATGGTGACCATGGGTAACGGAGAATCAGGGTTACATTCCATACAGGGACCCTGAGAAATGGCTACCACATGCAAGGAAGGCATCAGGCGCGCAAATGACCCACTCCCGACACGGGAAGGTAGTGACGACAAATAACAATACAGGACTCTTTAGAGTCCCTGTAATTGTAATGAGTCCACTTGAAATCCTTTAACTCTGATCAATTGGAGGGAAGTCTGGTGCAGAGCCACTGACCCGTGTGTGCTGCAGCTGAAACTCCACTATCACCTGCTGCTCACACAGTCTCATGAGGCGGTGAATGGGAAGGCAGTGAATGTCACATCCTGTTCCAAGTTGCGGATCAGTCTGGTGATGGCTTCTGGTATCCAGTACTCTTTTTACTGAAGCTGCATCAGGGTCCTGGTATGTGGCCGCACAAACACTGATATTCAACACCAGGGGGCATGCGGTTACCCTGCACCAGACCCTGCTAATCCATTCCACACTGTGACTCCTAACTTCAACATCAGGCATACTGGGTCCCGGTCATCCGACTGCCGCCCAGACAGTGTATGGGTCCTGGTCACCGGACTGCCCACCTGACTGTGAAACTACGAATGGATCGTTAAATCTGATAAGAACCCGAACTTTGCAGTACGGGTTCGCTCAACTCTATTATGGACCCTTTGATCGCTACATGTATTACTTGGATAACTGGTAATTAGGGGACGGCCGCTCCGCTTTTGCACCCTGCTCCCTCTTATGCTGTGCTGGTGCCTCTGTGTGACCAGCGCCTCTTCCTCCAAACTGCACATGTCACTTGCATGACCTTGATTCCATGTGGGGTCTAGGACCTCATCATCCTCCACATCATCTTCCACCCACTCCTCAACCCTGCCCTCCTTGCTGATATGCACACTGCAGAAAGCCACAGCAGTTGGCACCTGTGTTTTTCCAGCATGTAAAGTCTGCAATGGACATTTGGAAATTGTTTTATAATTGTATCCAGGCAACAGTTTTCCCTATAAACTGACCTCTCAGTTTGACTTGTGAGGGTATTGCCCCAGAATTACAATATTGTTTAAGTACCTCTTAGCTATTGATAACTTGTTTAAATATAGCAGCTTATCTGGTAGTTTCTAGTGTAGAAAATATCAATCTGTTTTCTATCACTTAGATCTGTGTAACAAGTGTTGTAGGTGTGAAACAATATTACAAGTGACTGATGTAGTAAATTCGAATCAAAGTTGCATTTGCAAAAACAATTCTCGCCCATCTTCTGTGGGTTATTGCATTTTTAAGATGTAGACTTATTGTATCACACTAGCCATGCACAGGTAGATTGTCTTACACGTTGTTTTGGTGTTTGGTTTTTAATGTTGTAGTTGTGTCTTTACACAATATAGAAATGTATATTAATGCTTCTGTATATGAAGTGATCACAATAACAATTATTTTTCACTTTTTATAAAATCAGGCTACACAAAAATTGGTAATTCACAATATGACATCTGAAAAGCACATGAAAGAATGCTGTATGATTGAAAAAAAAAAAAAAACACACTACATGAAGGTCCTGTTCACTAGAGTGTGTAGTCATGAATGTAACCAGTAAAACTTTGTTTTCACACCCACTGGTTGGCCCATACAAATTTTAAAACTTGTTTAATTTTGTTGTAGCATGACTTGTAGATATGAAGAACAGGCCCCAAAATGTACTATTTAGCAGATTAGCACCCAGAAAATAAGAATGATTACCACTGCGCTGTAAGCACACTATTAGACGCTTCAATTTAGCAAATTGTTTAGCACCCAAAAATTTAAAGTTTTGAAACTGCAATGTGACAGCAGTATTTGACAATTCTATTTGACTCTCAGATATGAAGTGCACCCCACTAATGTACTAGTTTGCAGAATTCTTTCCTAAGCTGTCCCTCACAGCGGCAGCATCCTCTCCCTACACTAAGACCTCATGTGCGTGCGGCGCTACGCGACTCCAGCTTATATATAGAGGCTGGGTCACATGCTGCACTGGCCAATCACAGCCATGCCATTAGTAGGCATGGCTGTGATGGCTTCTAAGGGCACACGAGTCAATTGCTTGTTGATTGGCTGCTCTGCAGCCTTTGAAAATGTGCCATCAAATCGTCGAACACCGAACTCCAACCCGAACATACAGTGATATGTCCGTGTTGGGTCCGTGGTCCAGAAAACGTAATGTTCGGGTTCGCTAAACTCTAATGTTAAATGTTTTAGTCCCTTGTGCTTTCTATAGTTATTTTAATGTGGTATACGTTATTTCGTGGAAATATCACTGAAATCCAGGAATTAATAGTTGTAGATGCCACTGGGCTTTGAAGATTTGACATAATTTGTCAAAAATCTAAGTGCTAATTATATTTCACCATTGTTTAAATGACCAGACAGATAAAATCACTTATCACAGAGCTCTGCAGCAATAAAACTCACTGTAATGTGCAGTATATCTCAGAGCTCTGCAGCAATAAAACTCACTGTAATGTGCAGTATATCTCAGAGCTTTGTAACAAAAAACTCACAGTAATGCGCAGTGTATCTCAGAGCTTTTTTAACAATAAAACTCACAGTAATGCGCAGTATATCTCAGAGCTTTTTTAACAATAAAACTCACAGTAATGCGCAGTGTATCTCAGAGTTTGTAACAATAAAACTCACAGTAATGCGCAGTGTATCTCAGAGCTTTGTAACAATAAAACTCACAGTAATGCGCAGTGTATCTCAGAGCTTTGTAACAATAAAACTCACAGTAATGCACAGTGTATCTCAGAGCTTTGTACCAATAAAACTCACAGTAATGCGCAGTGTATCTCAGAGCTTTGTAACAATAAAACTCACAGTAATGCGCAGTGTATCTCAGAGCTTTGTAACAATAAAACTCACAGTAATGCGCAGTGTATCTCAGAGCTTTGTACCAATAAAACTCACAGTAATGCGCAGTGTACCTCAGAGCTTTGTACCAATAAAACTCACAGTAATGCGCAGTGTATCTCAGTGCTTTGTAACGATAAAACTCACAGTAATGCGCCGTGTATCTCAGAGCTTTGTAACAATAAAACTCACAGTAATGCGCCGTGTATCTCAGAGCTTTGTAACAATAAAACTCACAGTAATGCGCAGTGTATCTCAGAGCTTTGTAACAATAAAACTCACAGTAATGCGCAGTGTATCTCAGAGCTTTGTAACAATAAAACTCACAGTAATGTGCAGTGAAATAAGTAGTGTACAAATATATCAGAAAGATCCACACCATTGTGTCACAGTGAAGCCCAGCAAAAAAAATATGCAGCATAAAGTATAGCCCTACAACCATAACCCCATATAATGTGTTACAAATGCCCTATTATTTTGATACTACTAGTAGATGCTTTAAAAATACCTTACCCAGATAGCCACCATCTGTAAACATTACAGATATAAACATTTTTAGCACTCTCATTTTGCAAAACCAGGTGTTCCTATGGACAAACCTCTACTGAAATGTGCCTTGTACCTTTTTCACCATAACCCTCCCTGTCTCCAATTGTTCCCCTTTTCTTGTTCCCCTTCCCTTATTTGTTCGCCTATTCTTGCCTCATCCCTTACTTGTTCCCCTCTTATTTCCTTCATCCCTCACTCTTCCTTATCCCCATTCTTCTACCCTACTTAAATTACCTGTTCCACTATTCTGGGATCGGTTTTGGCGGTGGAGTAAGTAAGATGGCAGCAGCGGTTGGCCTGCAAGGGTCAGGAGGCCTTCACGACAGCTGAGCCCAGGCGCGGGACCTTATGTTGGAGGACCAAGTGTTCCTGAGGTGGCCGAAGTGGGCCGCTATCCAAGACGCAGGTGCAGTGGCCGAGTGGTTGAGTTCCCACCTCCCAGCGCGCTGCTGGAGCCTCAGAGGGGCTATTTGCAATGGGCGGCTGCCCTGGACTCTGGCAGCGCACCCTCATGCTGGATGGGGCCAACCATAAGTGACAGTGGGCCCCCTGGACTGCTACATAGGACGGGGCGGCCCTTGGCGGTGATGTCGGGAACGTTGGTGATGCCTGCTCCAGGGCCACACGGAGCCGACCCTCTACAGGACAGGCAAGTGTAGGGGGGTCCATCTGGATTGGGTTTCCAGGGGAGCAGGGCTGCCAGGGAGCTACTGTGGCACCCACGGGTGGGTGAGGGTTGCTGTGTTGGGGGGGACCCCCTTTGGTCCTGATGGGCTCCGAGGTTACTGGGGATACGTGGGTAGGGCAGTGGGCAGCCATTAGGGGTGCTGGGGGGGGTTTAGGGGTCATGTGGCAGCTGGATGTTGGTCATGTTTGGGGAATTGGGCAGCTGGCTCCCTTGGCGAGACTGGGAGAGTACAGGGTAAGCTTGCCCTTCTTCTTGGTTGGGGGTGGTCCGAGCGTGGGTCCACAAAGTTGGGACTGAAGTTCTGCTTCCTGGCCAGTGTTCTAGGCGAGAAGTCGCAGAGGCTGTGTTCATCGCTGTTTTGCTACTTGGACAGGATCTGGGAGGCGTACCACACATACGGCAGGCTAGCACGGTGGAGGTACGACGAGCAGTTCCGACAACAGCTGGCAGCTAATCCGGTTAGCCGAGGTGGGACCAGATGGACCTGCCTCTCTGGATGAAGCTGATGATGGGACAAAAGGCACAGAAAACGTCCGGAGCTTGTGGCGGGATTGGGAGCTGAAGGATAGGAAATAGGCTCTCTATTAGGATGGTTATGGAAATGGTGAAGATGATTATTGGTAGGTTTCTAACCCTGTCCGTGGCACAGAACCTGGGGGTATACCCCTACCATGGTTAATTAAAATGTTGGCACTTTAAGTTATGTTCATGTTGGAATACTGTCGTTGACATGCAAATCAATTTATAACTTTTTTTACATGCGGTTTTCTGGATTGTTTTTTGTTATTTTGACTCTCACTGTTAAACTACACAGACCATAAAAATTATAGACTGATAATTTCGTTGTCAGTGGGCAAATGTTCAAAATCAGCAGGGGATCAAATACCTTTTCCCTCACTGTAGGAGGTGGGAACCATTGGGAAGAGCATTCCACTCAGGTAGAGAGGGAGCTTCCCAGAAAGGCTCTTATGCACAAGGTTGGAAAGATGAATAGAGTGTCAGGATTCCTGCGATAGCTAGTTTTGCATGTCACAATAGTGGGTCAAGTAATTACATTCTAGTACAAAGTGGCATTACAAATTATATAATGTATTAAGTTTACAAAGGTGGGTTTGCAATGCAGGTGCATACACTACATCCACATAATCAATGACTGGCATTCATATTTGTTGCACTATCTGTTTCCTTACTGTCGGGCTTAAGTAGGAT